AATTATATTATGTGTAATTATGGGTAATTTGTTGGTAGAACAGGTACAAATTGTAGATATCTACCATTCTACCAAATAAACAAAATTAAAATAATGGACTATCATCTGTCTGGGTAAATTATATTATGTGTAATTATGGGTAATTTGTTGGTAGAACAGGTACAAATTGTAGATATCTACCATTCTACCAAATAAACAAAATTAAAATAATGGACTATCATCTGTCTGGGTAAATTATATTATGGGTAATTATGGGTAAATTGTTGGTAGAACAGATACAAATTGTAGATATCTACCATTCTAAAAACAAACTATGTGCTTGTAGAGAACCATATGTCTTATTTGACATGACATCAATAAACTTATGCTGATTTCAAGTACATACTTAAACATAAATTGAAAAGGAAATTACATTGTTTTTTTTAATTAGCAGGTTTCAACATCTTGTTTCAACCACACTATTCCCAACCTTTTTAATGAAATATTTTTTCCTGTAACTTCGTGTTTTAATTTTAACAGAAATGTAAAATTATTTAAAATAAAATGTTAGTGTAGTTTAGCTGATATTTGATAGTGTTCATAACCTAGGATGTTTAAAACATTTAAAAAGTGTTTTTCTTTATTTTGCGTAGTTTTAAATGATTTGTTCAAAATGGATATGATTTACTTTATTGATTTTAACTACTTGATTGGTCTACTTTTCTAATGTATGAATATTTGTAGTAAGTTTCATCTTCGTAGGTTAAGTATTTAACGTTATGTTTAATTTAATGGTTAAATTAACTAGCAGAAATAGCCGCCCTCTGGGCAGGTATAACTGCTAGTTCCTTCGGAAGGCTATTAGGCCAGCGGCCTTTTCTGGAATTGTCTGACAGTTCTACAACAATGTACTCATACTTGACATTCAATAATGTTCACCATCCATGAGATAAGGGATTTTAGTTTAAAAATGAGCTATCATCATAGCATTACATCACAGAGTATATTTTATTGAAGTATTTCTACGTAGACGCAGTTATTTATCAATGAAAGTACCTTACTTTCTTGTTGCAACAATCGTGAGATTTTCACTAAAGAAAAACAAATATTTTTTTTTAAGTTTGTTTTTGATTGTTTTATATTTGGAATTAACTCCTTTTCGTTTGTAATTTTTATTCGTTAAACCTGAAACATATGATTTTTGTGGAAATTTCAATTGATTTATTTATTGCTCAGCTATAAAAGTACTGTCTAGTTATAAAAATATTACCCAGTTATGATTATTGATGATCGATGCGGTAGTTTCCGAGATCCGAGTTTTGGACTTATATATACATCGCAAGCTACATTATAATAAGATACAAATACGTGGTATACAGTTATAAAATAGCATTTATTTCGTTGTAATATACATATGTAAACTTAGTATAAATTTTGGGTTAAAAAATAACATCTTGCAACAAGAAAATTTCAACAATACAAATATTAATTCATCAAATGGTTGAATAGTAACCGTATTTAAACAATATTATCATTTTATAATTATTTGGATTAAACTATACTTTGATCACAGCTTATTTCATAATGTCAAACGTCACTCTCAACCAACTATTCACAACTTTCCCGAGTTCAATCGAAGAGGGATAGACACACTAACAACTGTTTTAATACTTACTTTTCACCAGTAATAAAAATTATTTTTACCAGTAATATGGGGGTGATAAAACTAATGAAAACCGACTTCATGTAATGGTTACAAACGTTTTAAATGAGTGTGATAGGCTTAAAGTTACATTTTCTGTGAGACAATGTTTGCTTTATTCGTTTCTTTGCTTATACTTTTAAGCTCTTTCTTGGTATCACACTTTTTATGTTCTGAAGTAATTCTGCCCAATAGCATACTAAAAAAAATATATGAAAGGATAAGTAACTAAAAAATAATAATAATGTGTTGGAAAAGTGTGTGGAACTATAATGTAGGCTTACAAAATGAATGGCCTGTTGTTGGGCGGCTGAGGATTGAAAGGAATATCCAAGTAGATTGCATGGCTTCCTGCTTCTGGTGGGGGAGTAAATAATTTCGGTTCATTGTTAAAAGGCACTCTTGGAAAAGTAACTCGGTTTTGCTTTAGAAGTTCCTGAAACCGTTTTAATTTGTTAGATCTTTGGAATTCAGGAAAGTGCTTCGGAAAGGGAATATTTTCGGGGGGATATTTGGAAAACCTTGAAAAGTGGTTTGGCTGGAAACGAAAATTTTCTTCGCCATTGTCATGTGCAGCCATCAATAATGAAGACTCTACGTTACCCCCTTGTTGTTGTAATGAGATTTGTCTCTGTGGATTGGGTTCCTTTAGATAAGGAAATGGCTTTGAGGGTTCGTATCCGTTATCATCAAATAAAAATGGTACTGGCACTCGATTTTGCCCCTCAAATGGTATATAGGCAGACTCTTCAGGATATTCATTTGCAAATGGTACTATACTTGGTTCAACACCCTGTTCTATAGGGAATGGGAGTGGAACATTTTGCTGTTCAACGAAACTTGGAAGAGGAAACTGCTGGCGTATTGGCTGAAAGTTTAAGCCTGTTGACTGAGGCATTGATCTAGGTTCATCAACAATGTTATCAGCAACAAACTCTGAGTCATCCATTACAGGGAATGGAGCTTGAAAGTACTCAGGCTGAGGAGGTAGTAGTGGGGGTCCCACAACACGAGGTGTTCGCTCTATAATTGTTGGAGATGGTCTATGGACAACAGTGGAATCTTCCATTTCAGAATCCATTGGTAATAACTCCAAACCCGTTTGAGGTGGAAAACGAGGGTTAGGTATAGTAATTCTAAATGAAGCTGGGTGGAGCATAGGACCAGAAACTTCAGGATATGAAGAAACTGGCAATGGAGCATGCATGGGATGTAATAAAAACATAATTCTTTCTAAAGGTGGTACTGGCCAACGAATAGCTGGACTGGGTGGTAGTAGGGGAGCTTCTGTGTATGGCAAAGGGGCCATTGGCGGTTGTAGTGGATCGTTTGGAAGTGGCAGTGGAATATTATGAGATGGGTAAGGAGGATTTTTGAGGTGGCAAAAAGGGCATTGGAGATGGGAATGGAGCATCTTGAAATTTCATAAAGGTCGTT